GGACAGACACACGGGCACAGGAACTCGGGTGTATCTGTGGGGCCGTGCCCGAGCACAGGTGAGCACACCTGGGCCCCCAGCGCTGCTCACGTACAGGGGTCACACACACGTGGGACACACACGTGGGACACACACAGGTCACACACACGGGACACACACAGGTTACACCTGGCACACACAGGTCACATAGGTCACACATGGCACACACACCTGAGCACACACAGGTCACACCTGGCACGCATAGATCACACATGAGCACACACACAGGTCACACATGGCACACACAGGGCACACACATGTGGGACACACACAGGTCACACACACGGGACACACACAGGTCACACACACGGGACACACACAGGTCACACACATGTGGGACACACACAGGTCACACCTGAGCACACACAGGTCACCCAGGTCACACACTGCACGCACACCTGAGCACACACAGGTCACACCTGAGCACACACAGGTCACACATGGCACACACAGGTCACACCTGGCACGCACACCTGAGCACGCACTGCACAGAGAGCTCCCGCCCCGATGGGAGCACGGCTACGCTGGCACAGGCGGTGCCCACGCATGTGCCCCTGCACGCCCGCCCGCAGCACACGCGTGTGCCTCCCCCGCAGGGAAGGTGGTGTACGCGGAGACGACCACGGCGCACGCCACGCTCACCGGGCTGCACTACTACCACCAGGACTGGTTCCACGCCGCCGCCTACGTCACCGTGCCGCCGCTGCGCCTCGACACCAACACCTCCGCCTACCTCATGAGCCTGCTCGCCAAGTGAGAGCTGCCCGGGCACCTCTGCCTGCCCCAGGCACCTCTCCCTGCCCCGGGCACCGCTCCCTGCCCCAGGCACCTCTCCCTGCCCCGGGCACCTCTCCCTGCCCCGGGCACCTCTCCCTGCCCCGGGCACCCCATCCCTGCCCCGGGCACCTCTCCCTGCCCCGGGCACCTCTCCCTGCCCCGGGCACCTCTCCCTGCCCTGGGCACCTCTCCCTGCCCCAGGAACCCCATCCCTGCCCCGGGAACCCCATCCCTGCCCCGGGCACCCCATCCCTGCCCCGGGCACCTCTCCCTGCCCCAGGAACCCCATCCCTGCCCCAGTCACCTCTCCCTGCCCCAGGCACCCCATCCCTGTCCTGGGCACCCCGTCCCTGCCCCAGGCACCTCTCCCTGCCCCAGGAACCCCATCCCTGCCCCGGGCACCCCATCCCTGCCCCGGGCACCCTGTCCCTGCCCTGGGCACCTCTCCCTGCCCAGGAACCCCATCCCTGCCCCAGGAACCCCATCCCTGCCCCGGGCACCTCTCCCTGCCCAGGAACCCCATCCCTGCCCCGGGCACCTCTCCCTGCCCTGGGCACCTCTCCCTGCCCCAGGCCACTCTCCCTGCCCCAGGGAGCTCCCGTGACACCCCACGGCAGGGGTACCCCATTCCCTGAGTTCTGGGCACCCCAAGCAGCCCTGGCAGTGCCATCCCCCCCTCTGTGCCCCGCAGTGACACGTTGAACATCGTGGCCTCGGACCACCGGCCCTTCAGCACCAAGCAGAAGGCCATGGGCAAGGAGGACTTCACCAAGATCCCGCACGGCGTCAGCGGGGTGCAGGACCGCATGAACATCATCTGGGAGCGCGGCGTGGTACGGCACTGGCACCGCCGGCCCGGGCACGGGGCTGGCACTGGGGCTGGCGGGGCCGAGGGCGGTGGGCGAGGAGCTCCCCGGAGCCCCCGGTGGGGCCTGGCAGGGATCCCGACCCCGCAGCACGGCTGGGTTTTGGGTTTTTGGTTTTTGGGGGGCCGGGGGGTGGCACGCCCGGCCCATCCTCACCCCGCTGCGGCGGCAGGTCGGGGGGAAGATGGACGAGAACCGCTTCGTGGCCGTGACCAGCTCCAACGCCGCCAAGCTCCACAACCTGTACCCCCGCAAGGGCCGGATCATCCCCGGCGCCGACGCCGACGTCGTGGTCTGGGACCCCGAGGCCACCAAGTAGGTGCCCCCCGAGGCCGGGGGGGGCTCCCCGTGCCCCCGGCAGCGCTGACGGCCCCGTCCCCCCGCCCAGGACCATCTCTGCCAGCACCCAGGTGCAGGGCGGGGACATCAACCTGTACGAGAACATGCGGTGCCACGGCGTGCCCCTGGTCACCATCAGCCGCGGGCGCGTGGTCTACGAGAACGGCGTCTTCATGTGCGCCGAGGGCACCGGCAAGTTCTGCCCGCTGCGCTCCTTCCCCGACATCGCCTACAAGAAACTGGTGCAGCGGGAGAAGGTACGGGGGCAGGGCCGGCCGTGCCAGGGCGGTGCCAGGGCTGTGCCAGAGCTGTGCCAGAGCGGTGCCAGAGCGGTGCCAGAGCAGTGCCAGAGATGTGCCAGAGCAGTGCCAGGGCTGTGCCAGAGCGGTGCCGTGGCCATGGTGTGGCTGTGCCACAGCGATGCCACAGTGTGGGGCAGGGCTGCACCGTGCTGACGGCTGGAGGGGACAGGGGGCCGTGGCTGTGCCAGGGGAGGCTCTGTGCCAGGCCATGCCACGCCGTGCCGTCAGCGTGTGGCACAGGACCCTCCCCTGGCTCCTTGCAGCACGCTGGCAGTGCCAGAGGAGGGTTGTCCCAGCAGGTGTGTGGCCCACGGCCATTTCAAGGCCTGTGTGGCCATCGTGTGTGGTCACGGTGGGCACCAGCGCTCCGGGACGGGGACACGCGTGGCTGGGGCTGCTCTGGCAGTCCCTGTCACCCCTGTGTGCCCCCACGCTGTGGCTGTGGGGACAGCCTGGGGGACAGCATGGGGCTGATGCTGCAAGGGAAGGGCACCGGGGGTCTGGCAGCTCACAGCGAGAGGGTGGCAGCACTGGGCGCTTGTCGGGAGCTCTGCGTGGCTGGGGGGGCACAGGGCATCGCATGGGCTCGGCTTGGCTTGGCTTGGCTTGGCTCGGCTTGGCTTGGCTTGGCCGGGGGGACGGGGCGAGGGGCTGCTCTGCCAGGGCCACCCACCTCCCCCAGCCCCTGCCCCTGCCCCGCACTGCACTGCTTGGCGCCGGGAGCCCCACAGCGTGCCCAGCACCTTTCCGAGTGCCCCCTCCCCAGCCGCAGCCCCCTCCCCAGCCCCAGCACGCCCCTTCCCCTTCCCTTCCCCTCCGGGCCGGCCCGCAGCCCGCACCCCGTACCCCGTACCCCGCACCCCGTACCCCGCAGCCCGCAGCCCGCAGCCCGCAGCCCGCAGCCCGCCCCGCTGATGCTCTCTCCGCTCTCTCCCGGCAGAGCCTGAAGCTGCGGGCTGTGGACCGCACCCCGTACCTGGGGGACGTGGCCGTGGTTGTGCATGCCGGTAAAAAAGAGACGGGGACGCCCCTGGCCGATACGCCCACCCGGCCGGCCACGCGACACGGGGGCATGAGGGACCTGCACGAGTCCAGCTTCAGCCTGTCCGGTAAGAGCGGGGCCGCCCCGGGGTGTCCCCGTTATCCCGCCACCCCCCCGGTACTCCCGCCGCCCCCGCAGGGTGTCCCGCACCCCTCCTCCGCCAGGGCTGTCCTGTCACCCCCTTCTCCGGGCTGTCCCCTTCCCCTGCAGGGCGGCCCCCCAAAGCCCCCCCAAAGCCCCCCAAAGCCCCCCGGCCGTGCCCCAGCCCCGCTGTCCCGGGGGGCCGTGGCAGAGCAGGAGAGGCCCCGGTCCCGGAGCTGCCGCCCCCGGCCCGCGCCCCGTCCGCCCGGCGGCTGCGCCGGTGTGGGGCACCGGGGGCTGCGCCGGTGGGGCGGGCGGGGGTCTGAGCCGGTGTGGGGCACCGGGGGCTGCGCCGGTGGGGCACCGGGAGCTGCGCCGGTGTGGGGCACCGGGGGCTGCGCCGGTGGGGCGGGCGGGGGTCTGCGTCACTGCTGGTCACTGCTGGTCACTGCTGGTCAGTGTTGGTCACTGCTGGTCAGTGTTGGTCAGTGTTGGTCAGTGCTGGTCAGTGCTGCTCAGAGCTGGTCAGGGCTGGTCAGTGCTGGTCAGCATTGGTCAGAGCTGGTTAGTGCTGGTCAGCATTGGTCACTGCTGCTCAGAGCTGGTCAGAGCTGCTCAGAGCTCCCCAGGAGCAGCACAGCCGCGGTCGGGGGGTGCCACAGAGCCCCCGCTGTCCCCGGGCTGCCGGGGGCTCCCGGGGCTGTGCCCAGCCACCCCGGCCCCTGCCGACCGCCCGTGTGTCCGGCAGGTTCTCAGATCGATGACCACGTTCCAAAACGAGCCTCGGCCCGGATTCTCGCTCCCCCCGGGGGCCGGTCCAGCGGCATCTGGTAGAGCGGGGGTCCTGTCCCCCGAGTGAGGAGCAGGAGCCGCCCCCGCGCCCCCGGACCCGGCTCCGGCGGGGCTCCCCTGGCCGCGGGGCCCCGCCCGGTCCCCGTGCCGCCGGCGGGGCCGTACCGGCGGCGGGGCCGTGCGCGGGGGCCGCGGAGGGCCGGGGGCGGTGGGTGCCCCCCCGGCCCTTTTCTGTTTGCACGTTGGGTTTGGATCAGTGAATTTTTGACTTGTTTGTGCATCACGTGGAAATACTCTGAAGTGGTTTGTGTCACTAGCGTAGGGGAGACGCAGGGACCCCCCTTCCTGCCCCATTCCTGAACCCCGACCCCGACCCACCACTCGTCCTGGTCAGGCTGGTCAGAGCTGATCAGAGCTGATCAGAGCTGGTCATCCCATTCCTGTCCCCCATTCCCATCCCTGAACCCCCATCCCTGAACCCCCATCTCCCTCCCTGAACCCCCATCCCTGAACCCCCATCTCCATCCCTGAACCCCCATCCCTGAACCCCCATCTCCCTCCCTGAACCCCCTTCTCCCCCACCCCTGAACCCCCATCTCCCTCCCTGAACCCCCATCTCCCCCATCCCTGAACCCCCATCTCCCTCCCTGAACCCCCATCTCCCCCATCCCTGAACCCCCATCTCCCTCCCTGAACCCCCATCTCCCTCCCTGAACCCCCATCTCCATCCCGACCCCTCCATCCCAGCCCCCCATTCCCATCTCTCCTGCTCCCTCCCTGAACCCCCACCTCCCTCCCTGACCCTTGTCACCTGCCCCCATCCCTGCCCCCCGTCTGCCCCCATTTCTGCCCCCCTGTGCAGGGAGTGCTGGTCCATCCTTTCCAACACCCTTGAAATCCCCAAATCTCCCCCCCTGTCCCCCACGCCCATCCCTGCACCTCCCCATCCCCACACGCCCCTTCCTGCCCACCTTGAGCTCCCGCAGCCCCGCAGAGAGTGGTGTCACAGCCCTGTGTCACAGCCCTGTGTCACACCCGGGTCACAGCCGTGTCAACACACCTGCAGGCGTGTGTCCCATGTGCCACCTCTGTGCCACCTGTGCCAGACCCTCACCTGCAGGTGCGGTCCCGGGTCAGTGCTCACCTGCCAGGTGAGCTGCTGGTCACCCCCAGGTCACCCCCACCTGCCAGGTGAGCTGCTGGTCATCCCCCGGGTCACCCCCACCTGCCAGGTGAGCTGCTGGTCACCCCCCAGGTCACCCCCCAGGTCACCCCCCAGGTCACCCCCACCTGCAGCCCCCCGCCCCACGGGCCCGCGTGTCCCCGTGTCCCTCGGTGGCCCCCGGTCCCTGTCCCCCCGGTGCTGTTGGGGTGTCCCGGGCCCGTCCCCTCCCTCGCCCCCCGTGTCCCCTGTGCCCTCCCCCTGTAGGTCCCTGTAGGTGTTTGGGGGCCGGCGGGCCCTGGCGGGGGTCCCGTGTCCCCCGGGGGTCCCGCGAGGCCGATTTAGGAACTGCCGTCCGTGTTTGCTCATTAAAGACCGTTCACAGCGCCCGCCGCTCCTCTGTGGGTCTGGGGATGGGGCAGGGTGGGACAGGGATGGGGCAGGGATGGGGCAGGGATGGGGCAGGGATGGGGCAGGGATGGGGGGCAGGGATGGGGCAGGGATGGGGCAGGGATGGGGGGCAGGGATGGGGCAGGATGGGGCAGGGATGGGGGGCAGGGATGGGGCAGGGATGGGGGGCAGGGATGGGGCAGGGATGGGGCAGGGATGGGGGGCAGGGATGGGGCAGGGATGGGGGGCAGGGATGGGGCAGGGATGGGGCAGGGAGGGGGGGCAGGGATGGGGCAGGGATGGGGACACAGGGACGTGGGGGGACACAGGGACATGGGGGGCCACGGGGACATGGGGGGACACAGGGGGGATCATGGGGACACAGGGACGTGGGGGGACACAGGGACATGGGGGGCCACGGGGACATGGGGGGACACAGGGGGGATCATGGGGACACAGGGACGTGGGGGGACACAGGGACATGGGGGGCCACGGGGACATGGGGGGACACAAAGGGGGCCATGGGGACACAGGGGACACACACGTGGGGACAGGGACATGGGCAGACACGCCTGGGGACACAGGGGGGACACACGTGGGGACAGGCACAGCGATGTGTCGCCATGGAACACCAGGGGACGTGGGACATGCGTGAAGTTTTGGGGACACGTGTGGACACGCGTGGGGACACAGTAAGACAAGGCGGGGGTCACAGCGCTGGCCCTGTCACCCTCTGCTGGGGTGCACAGGGGGTGCAGGGGGGTGTGGGGGGTCCTGGGGGTCTCCGGTCTGCCCGGGACACAGCGGGTCCCACGTGTCCCCAGGATTTGGGGCTCGGGGGGCTCGGAAGGGCCGTGGGAGGGCCCGAGGGAGCCTTGGGGGATCCCGAAGGGGTCCTGGGGGGTTCCGGAGGGAGCCGGGGGGGGTTCTTAGAAGGAGAGGTCTTGGGGGGCTCTGGGTGGGGGCCCCAGGAAGAGTCTTGAAGGGTCACAGAAGGTCCTGGGGAGGGTCCCCGATGGCTCTAGGGGGTGTTTAGGGGGTTCTGGGGGTGTTATGGGGAGGTCTGGGGGTGTTTAGAGGGGGTCTGGGGGTGTTCAGGGGGTCCCTGAAGGCTCTGTGGGTGTTTAGAGGGTCTGGGGGTTTTTAGGGGGTGTTTAGGAGGGTCTGGAGGTGTTTTGGAGGTGTTTAGGGGGCTCTGGGGGTGTTTAGGGGGTGTTTAGGAGGGTCTGAAGGTGTTTTGGGGGTGTTTAAGGGGTCTGGAGGTGTTTAGGGGGTTCTGGGGGTGTTTTGGGGGTGTTTAGGGTGCTCTGGGGGTGTTTAGGGGGGTCTGGGGGTGTTTTGGGGGTCCCCAAAGGCTCTGGAGGTGTTTTGGGGGTGTTTAGGGGGTCTGGGGGTGTTTTGGGGGTGTTTAGGGGGTTCTGGGGGTGTTTAGGGGGTTCTGGGGGTGTTTAGGGGGTGTTTAAGGGGCTCTGGGGGTGTTTAGGGGGTGTTTAAGGGGCTCTGGGGGTGTTTGGGGGGTGTTTAGGAGGGTCTGAGGGTGTTTTGGGGGTCCCCGGAGGCTCTGGGGTGCAGACCCCGCCGCCCGCCAGCAGGGGGCGCTGGTCGGGCCCGTTGCCATGGCGACAGGGGGCTCGGCCATGTCCGTTGTCATGGCCGGAGGGGGCGTGGCCAGGCGCGTTGCCATGGCAGCAAAGAGGGGCGTGGCCAGCGTTGCCGATGTCGTGGGGGCGTGGTCAACCATCCTAACGCTAAGGGGGCGTGGCATGACCCGTTGCCATGGCAGCGGGGGCGGGGCGGGGCGGTTGGCACCGCCCGCGGGGGGGGCGGCGCAGGCGCGGTCGGTCCGTGCGGTTCCGGCCCGGTCCCGGTCCCGGTCCCGGTCCCGGAGCAGCGGAGCGGGGGCAGCGGAGCGGCGGCGGCCGCGGCCGAGCGGTGAGTGCGGCGGGACCGCCCGGGGGGCAAGGGAGGGAGCGGGCAGCGCTGCTGACATCACCGCATCCCCGCACCGGCCGCCGCCGCCCGGCAGGACCGGCGGGGGGGCCGCGGGGCCCTCGGGGATGGAGCGGCGGGGCCGGGCCGGCAACGGGGCTGGAGAAGCCAGGCCAGAGGGGAGAGGGGCCTCCGGAGATGGAGCGTCCGGAGGTGGGGGGCCCGGTTCGTGCGGTAACGCCGGGGATGGAGCGGTTGAAACCGGGCCGCGAACGGGTCCGGGCCGAGCGGCGAGGCCAGGCGGTCCCGCGGGGCCGGTGGCGGCGAGGCCCGGCCTGACTCAGCGGCGGCCGCTGCGGCGTCCCGGCTGCGGCTCCTGCGGGACCGCGGGCACGGCACGGTGCGGTCCCGGTACGGAACGGCCCCGGCGTGTCACGGTACGGCACCGGCTCGGCGCCGGTCAGGCACACCGGGAGCTGTAGTGTCGGCTCCAGCACCGCCAGCACCGGGCGTCGCTGCCGGTACGGGCCATCATCGGGGCCCGGGCATCACCCGGAGAGCTCCGGTCTCGGGGGGTCCCGCGGCACTCGGGGCGCCGCCGCTCGGGCACTGCCGGGGCCGCCGGTCCCGTTCCGCGTGTGCCGCCGTGGGTGATGTTCCCGGGATGCCGCCGTGGCTGTCCAAAACGGCAGGTGGCTGTCACCGTGACACACCGGGCGTGACCCGCTCTCGGTCCTCGGGCTCATGGCGGCACGGCGGCGGCGGTGTCACCGGTGCAGCGGTGTCACCGGTAAGGTGACGGTGTCACTGCCGCGCGCGTCGCGGGATGGGTCCGGGGCCCTTCCCTGCGCTGCCCCGCCATTCCCGGGATATCCAGCCCCATCTCCCGCCGGGGGTATTCCCGAGCGGCCCCTCTGACGCCCCGCAGGGTGACGGGGCTCCCGGGGGTGCCGTGAGCGCTCCCGGTGCCTCCCGGGGGGACCCTGGGGCCTGTCGCCGGCCGGGGATGCGGCGTGTCCCGCAGCCCGCCCGCTCCGGCTCGGCTCATCCCGCGGCATTAATATTTCAGGAGCGGGGGGAGGGCTCCGCTCTGCACATGCTCCCGCCGCCGTACCGACTTATTTAGGTTAGCGGGAGCCCAGCGCGGCGGGGGGATTTGGGCGCTCGGGCCGAGCATCGCCGCCGGGAGCCGCCAGCTCCCGGTGCGTGAGCGGCCGGTTTGCCTCGCCGCGGGCCGGGACGGGCGCTGCCACCGGGAAGCGGTGCCGGGGCCGGAGCCGGTACGGAGCTGGGGATGGAGCCGGTGCGAGGCCGGGCGCTGCCGGTGCCGGCGGAGCGCGGCCGCGGTGCTGCTCGGGGCGGGGGCAGCGGCTCTGGGGGCGCCCGGGGGGGACGGGGGCGAGCGGCCCTCGCCGCTAACACCCGGTCCACCGTGCCCGCTGCCAGCCCCGCGGCGGCTCCGCACGGCGCTCGGCCCCCGCCGGGCTGTCTGCCACCCCCCTGGCGCGTTTGTCACTTGAGAAGCCACCGGCACGGCTCCCAAAATAGAACCCGCCAGCCGCAGCAGCCCGGTTCGCACCGGCACCGCGGAGCTGCCGGGCCGGCACCGCCGCGCCGCTCGGCTCCCGGTGCCCGCCGTCGGTGCCGCCCTCGGCCGTCGCGCCGGCACCTCACGGCCTCACTCTGCTCCCGTTTGTTTGGGCAGAGCGGCCGCGGGGGCTGCGCCGTGGGACCGGGCCCGGACGACCTCTGCGTGCGCCCCGGCAGCGCCGCGGGACGGGCACGGACGCACGCCCGGGGCTTCGGTGGCCGTCGGGCCGTGATTAGCCGCTCCCGCCCGGACAATTAAAATGCAGCGGTAAGCGTCCCCCGCCTGGCCGGGCGCCCGGCAACAACCCCTCTCCCGTCGGCCTGCCGGGAATCTGGGCTCGGCTCTTATTTTCATTCGGATTTTTTGGCAGCAGCCGGCGGCAAACCGGCTGGGCCGGAGGCTGGCGGCCCTGGGCGCGTCCGTCGCCCGGCGTCGGGGCGGCGGTGGGTCGGAGGGTGCCGCGGGCCCCGGCTGCCCTGTCATTACACCGGGGCTCGGGAGGCGTTTGGGAGGGTGGGGACGGGCCGGGTGGCACCGCGAGCCCCGGGCGGCGTCCCCGCTCCGCCATCGGGACGCGCCGGTGCCCGCCGGGGTCGGGGTTCTCCCGGTGGGTCAAGGTGCTCCCGGCGGGATCATGGTTCTCCCCGCGTGTCGGGGCTCTCGGTGTGGCTCGGGGTGCTCCCCTCGTGTCGGGGCTCTCGGTGTGGCTCGGGGTGCTCCCCGCGTGTCGGGGCTCTCGGTGTGGCTCGGGGTGCTCCCCGCGTGTGGGGGCTCTCGGTGAGGCTCGGGGTGCTCCCCGCGTGTCAGGGCTCTCGGTGTGGCTCGGGGTGCTCCCCGCGTGTCGGGGCTCTCGGTGTGGCTCGGGGTGCTCCCCGCGTGTCGGGGCTCTCGGTGTGGGTCGGGGTGCTCCCCGCGTGTCCGGGCTCGCCCCCGCGCTCTCACGTGTGCCGGTGTGTGCGGGACTCGAGGTGCGGCTGGCGCGGTGACACCCCGGCTCATCCCGGCGGGGATCGGGGGTCCGTGTCGCGTCCCCCACGAGCGCCCCGGGGCAGGATGCCGCAGAGCCTTGGCGGCCGTGCCGGGTCCCTCCCGCGGGCATCCCCCGCTCGGCCCGGGCGCGGCGTGGCCGCACGGCCCGCGGTGGGGTCCTGCCTCGGGGGCTGCCCCGTTATTTGGGGGAGGGCCGGCGGTGGCAGGGGGGTGTCGGCCGCTCGTCGCCGTGCGGGCACGCGGCCCCTGCCCCGTGCCCCGTGCGGCGCTGCCGCCCCCGCCGCAGCCCCGTGCCCGGTGCGGCGGTACCGGCAGCCGCGGCACCGCAGTGCGCGTGGCTCTGGCTCAGCGCCGCGCATGACTCAGCTCCGCTGCCGGAGCCAGGGGAGGGGGGACGATGGGGAGAGCCCTGGGGGGACCCCTGCCCGCACCCCACCGCCGCGATGCCGCGGGACGGGCTGCGGCCGCCGCCGGTACCGGGAGCGGG